TCGATACGAAAATGATTTTGAGGTGCAAGCGAATGTGCGAAATTAATGTAGCTTTTTATAGCAAACCGTTAAAAGGTTAACTGTACCACTGATGAAAACATGCACAGGGGTTATAAAACTTTATATTCGAGCCGGTAAGCTCCGATAGCAATCCACCCTGAGTTGCAATTCTCGGGCTATAGCGGAATTATTGGGCTTTTGAGGTCAAACTGGGAGTTCAAATAGTTTATAATAAAAATTCGAAGCCGGTCTACCAAAGATGGGCTAGCTGTGTTCCAAATTAGACGGCACAACACTGTATATTATAATTTAAGGTTTAAACATGCCACAAACAAATATATTCGTATTATATTTAAAAAGCGTAAGATTGAAACAACATCAAAATCTAAAAATTAGATGCATGACAAAGCAGCTAGGTAAAAAATTATTAAGTCGGTGTGGTGAATGAATGGCATGAATTCGTGAGTCAAAAGGCCACAACTGAAACCATTTTGCACACCGGCCCTATGAAATACAACCAGAACACCAAATATGAAATGTAAAAAACGTGATACCAACGCAGCCGTGGAAAGTACACTAATTAAAACAGTTTATATCTTCATTCTGCGCTTTCACTGTCAGGTATAGAAGTTTGTAAATAATAAGACTTTGTAGTGAATACCTGTATGAAAAGAACATCAAACTGGAGCATATCACTCTACTCAAAAGTCGGAAGTTTGTGGATTATAAATTCGGAACTGCGATAAAAGTGATTCAACCAAAATACACGTAGAGGGCAGACTGCACATTTTCACAGCACTATTCTTTCTTGTACGCGTTTGGAATCAAATAACGTCTTGGAATTTTTATGCTGAAGAAAATGATATATTTGGATTTTCTAATTTTCTAATTTGCCAACATTTTTGGAACCTTGCCGTCAGTCAAACCTTAATTTAAGGATTCCATCTCCAGTGTTTAAACAGTCTGTCTATGGAAACGTGCATTTGCCCTTTGCTGCGGAGGATAGGTCATTTAGTTCTCACGCACTTTATTTCATACGCAAAATGTATAAATAGACGCATACGGTGTAGTCTGAGTCCTAAAAAATCTCACAATAAGAAACTGTTTTAATCGAAAAATATGCTTTCTTAAGGAATTAAATTTGAAAAAGAGATAATTTTCTTCCTGTCCGACTTTTTCAAGAGCCTCTCACGAGCAAAGCGCCACGGTTTTTCCACTAATCCCTATCTTCTTCAGCCGATCTGGCCTTCATGCCATAGCCTCTCACATATGTCCGCCTTCCCGTCCTACTACTGCATTTGGTTGTCTTTTAGGCTTCATCCTCCTGCGCGGTTGCTTTCCTTTCAACCCCAGTCCCTCTTTGCCCATTCCTCGCCTTTCTACCAGCCCGCTTTTTTTGTTCATGGTTTGCTTTAGTCAATGGGTCGGCTTGTGGGATAGCAAGTATTCCGGCCGGCTAATTGATGATAGAACGTATCCTTATTATTATCAACTATTGGATAACATAAGACATGGAAGGCTAGAGTAGTGTGGATAATTTAATTTTATGCAGAGGGAGTAGAATGTGAGTAATAGGTAAGTGACTCATCTGGTAGACACGGTGTGGCTATTGCCCTCTCGGAAGAAGCT